TCCCTTTATCTCAGAGCTCTGTGGACTAAGCACTTATGCATGACTTGTCCAACGTCACCGTGAACAAGTTTTCCAACATCACAGGTGAGGGCTCCAGCCACACAGAATGTGACGGTCACCTCCACGAAGAGCAATAATTAGATGCATTTGATGAAGTAGATCACATGCACCAAACTTATTCAGAGGGTTAAGTGAACAGCTCACTGAACCAACATAGATGATGTGTTTGTTTTTCTTAAAAACAAGTCTTGAAGTACAGGGAAGTTCCTCTGTTTATGATATGCCAGTATTTAAATAGAATAATCTTTAATGGGCCAGCTTGCTTCAGGCAAACTCACAGAAAGGGCAGTGTAGGCTGCAGCCATCAAAAGGCTAACAACAGAAGTCTGCAGAGCTCTATTAAAAACAGTCTTAAAAAAAAATCTCCTCGCATAGTACTTCAAAATTGGTCTAGAAGTGACCTTACAAATTTGATTCTGAAAAATAATTACTAAGACAATACCTATAGGGTGATAATTTACTGCAGCTGTGCATAGATGCATTCTCCCTCTCTCCTGGTGCGCAGCACCACACAACCCATAGCAAACTGAGCTATTATCTTCTCAGCACAAACACTTCCTCATTCCGCTATAAGTTGCGCTATAGGATAACCTGCACTAGAATGACTAGGACATCAAATCATCCATGGACTCTCCCACTTTATTAAAAAAAAAAAACCAACAAAAACGCACCACTTCTTAGAATCGAAAAGTTTGAAAACTCTTGACTGAATCCATCCTGTCCCAGGACAGGATCTGTCTACATCTGTATCAAACCTAGTGATGTTTATCGAAACTGTTCTTAAAAACTTCCCACGACGAAAACTCCAAAACCTTGCCACAACCATAATTACCTGAAGGCTTAATTCACCTTAAAAATCAAAGTTGTGGCCCACCTGTTTTTTTTCTGTATTTAAGCACGCACCTTAAATTGTCCACCAGTTGCCAAACACCAAAAATCGCACTTCTTTGTTTCATGAGGAAGGTCACGATCATAACTTGCTACCAAAAATCTGGCACTAAAACATAGTTTTAAATATATTATGAACAAACCCAGCATTGTCTCCTCCTTTCCTAGCTCATGAACCTCACTCCTAGTGCACATCTCAATCCTGTTTCTGAAGTAAACAGGACAGCTCTACCACTCCTCAGCTCCATAAAGAGGGAACTGTTTGTTTTTAGAAAGTATTGTGTGAAATAAACTGTCTTCTCCAGACAGTTACAATGAAATCAACAAGAGCAGCTGCAATTTCCGACCAGGATCTCAGAATATCAGAACATTCAAAACTCAAGTGTTAATAAATAAATATATATACCCTCATTGTTACACCACATGTAATTGCTTTTGTCCTGTATTCATAAGCAACATTTGCTATTCCTTTCATGAGTGGAAGGACTGGCAACTTTTCTCTTCAGAATGCACCTACTGTTAGAGGTCTGCAGTGACCTCATTAAAAGTTATTTCCATGGCCACTAGGCTGTTTGCTTTTCAGTTACTAGTGGTTTCCCATGGAGCAGTAAGAACTCAAAATAACTTAGCATGGGCCGAGCTCAGGCCGCTGCCACCCATTTTTCTATAATTAATGTCTATCAAAGCGCTTCCTGTTGCTCTTACTAGGATCCCTCTTTAACTTTTCTTCTGCGTCTTGACTGACAGTGGAATTAACTTGAATCAGCACCGGCCTTCCCTGACCTATACACAACGCATAGGTCAGTCCTCAGACTCACTAGACCCGTAGGAACTACTGCAACCACCATCCCTCCTGGCTGATCAGCGTTTGGGAAACAGGGCTGGCTGAGCCATTCTGCCCAGGGAGGACTCTGCTCACAGAAAGAGCAAGAACTGAAGTCTTAAAAGGCCTTAGAAAGCAGAATTTTCTTGTTGAGGAAAGCTTCAGCTGAGAGACCTCATTCCAAAAGGGAAACTCAAGTATCTATTACAAACTTCTTTAATAATCCTAGGTACGCAACAGAACACTAAAATAGTCCAGAAGAGCACAGGTAACGAACTATTCATTTAGCCATGGCTGAATCATCAGGAAACATGCACTGAGATGTCACTGTGTGTTGTGTAAATCACTCTTGGTGCTGCAAATGTACCTGAACTAACATGAGTGCTCAGATAAACACCTCTGTACAGCTGTGCTCATTTTATTCAAACTTGTGTATTTGCTGCCTGCATTACCACGACAAAGATTTAGCGTAAAGTACTGAACAGATGATGTGTACAGTCCATGTTCTAGCGTCTTCCTGGATATTGCCTTCAGCTAGCTGAAGGTACAGCTATTACTCCTGCAGCCACACCTTCTGGCTTTGGGGTACACATATGGTGCAGCATGAAACTACACGTTTAGATCAGTGCCACAGTGGAGTGATGATTAATCCAGGATTGAGGGAATATACAAATCTGCCCTCCTAATTATTATATAGACATAGTTAATTACAAGGTTGTTTCCTTAATTGAAATTATTCTGCTGTCACTTCACATCTGAGGATTTAGCAAGGAAGGGCAGAAATAAGAGGACCACAGTAAGCACTCGTAACGGTGAGTTCTGCCAGCTGTACGACCCTGCACACAGAATCTGTTCCTGAATCTTCCAAAGTCCCTACAAAGGATGACATCCAGTTATTTGCACCTTGGTATGCAGCACACCATCCAGCTCTCCTCAAATTTCATGCTGCGCATTTCAAATTCTCATTTATCACAGATTTATTTACTACTGTTTTTATTGACTGATTTCTTCTTCCCGTGACTCTAGGCAATGCTAAAGCTACCTACTATCATACTTCTTTAAATGGGTGGAAAGCAGATCTGTTTAGAACAATAAACAATCCTTGTTTTTGTATTCTCTTATTTATTGTATAAAAGTTTAGCCTTGGACCTCTACTCATTTTTGATGCCACCAAGTACAATTCAGTGAGTGCTGCCTCAGCTTACAAGTTTAGCTGCCTAACATGCAGCATTTTAAAACCATGCTCATATATATGACCCACATTTTCCAGTGATGCGGAGTATCTAAAATTCAGCCACTCACAGAATAAGGGAACCTAACTTTCTGTAGTTAAACTGAAGGAAAAAACAAAACAAAACCAGAACAAAATCCTCTGTGACTACTGCCAGCAAATTACAAATAGACCCATTGTACTACCCCTTCCCCTTTAATTGCACACTTGTCTCTGATTTTCGTCAAGCTCCTGCAAGAAGTATAACCTGTAAAACTATCTGTGAAATGAGAAAATTAAATATTACAGATTTGAAAAAATGTATTGATCTGTAAGTATACTTCTTGACGCAGCTAAGTGTATGGGAATTTTTATCCTGGTTCCCAAGCCATCAGATCAAACAGCTTCCCTGACATACGCTTGTTATTCACTTTATACTCCAAACAATATATAAATCAGCAGTGGTCCTTCCCCAAACCACCTTTTGCATACTTCATGTAGTGAATCATCACAGATCTTTCCTAATATTGTTTATTCAGTCATGTTATAATAGCATCTAATGATTCCAAATGGAGTTGGCGCTTCATAGAGCAAATGTCCCTGTCCCAAAATTCAATATTTGTCTGGATGCTAAAGTCTTAGGAGCTTACAGTCAAGAACTCAAACTCTTTTAATACGGTTACTGGGCAGAAGAAACTAGAAAGAACTGACAGAAAAAAAGTATATACCCACAGCAGACTGTGTACTAAATACAACTTAGTCATTCTGAAATGCTGACACAAAGGCATTATACCACGAAGTGAGCTTGTCGCCCCTTTGTCTGCAAAGGTTCCACAGAAGTGCTCAGAACAGGAGTTCCACATCTGATTTGCTCATCTGCTACCATCACAGGGAAAAATCTATTTCTTATCACAGCAATACCAGCAACTTTGTGGTAGGCCACACACAGATACTGACATTTAGCTGTTTAGACAAGCATTTTTCCTCCATCAGCCATTCTTCATCCTTCCTCCTTTATTTTGGAGTGGTTTGCATAATGCCATTACCATTAATGCACCTGCTTAACAGCACCTGCTGTAGAGTAGCATTTCAATTTCCATACACAACAACACTGAAAAAAATAACAAAAATCGGAGAAAGTTCCAGTGAGACACTAGTAAGGATAAGAAAGTGATTGCTCCATAGATCATTACTAAAACCACAAAATACCTAAGGAATGACGGGTTAAGGAGTCTGCACAGAAAGGATAACCGGCTTGCATCTGCAGAATGAACATCATCATACCTAATACACCTCTGTATCTGAATCTTTTTTCCCTGCCTGTAAGCCTCTAATGACACAGAGCTATCAGTAACAAATAGCTACATCTCCAGCAATGCCTTTGGATACTTCATAACAAACTGTCCTAGGAAAAAATTACCACATGTAACTTAAATGTATTTTAAACATATCATCTGGCTGTACAGCCACATTGTATCATGGTAACTTTAATCCTCCTTAGTTACATGGCCCCTGCTATTGGTCGCACTGCAAGTAACTGCATCTAGAATTAAAAAAACACATAACAAAACAAAAAAACAACAAAACAAAAACTTCAAGGCAAATATTCCTACCTGTTTGGTAAAATTACTCCTAATATTTTATGTATGGAAGAAATGAGAAGAAAAATTATAAAGGATTACACATGAAGTGCTTTGATCAACAATAGATTAAAGGAATCATTTGAACAGAAAAATCACAAATACAGCTCCAGAGTGAAAGTCACTGATTGGCATGATATACAAGACTAGACAGTAAAAGAGTGAAGCAGGGAATGAAATCAACAGATGAAACTGTGGAATTTCCTTTGCTTGAGGAGTTAAAAAACACAATGCATGACAAAGATGGGTAACATGGAGCCTGCAGCAGCAGATGGACGAAGTCTTTTCAAGTTTTCCAAATATACAGGAGAAAGCATAATGAGAAATGCTAATGCAACTTTATTTGGGCTTGTACTCTAAGTACCTGGAGTGCAAGTTTATTTTTATTAATCTAGTAAATCGTGGCAATTAATTAGAGATCAGTTCCCTTTAAGTATAACGTAAAGTACTGGCAGCGTAATAGCAAACACAGCGCATGTCACCGCAGTGCTGTAAACAGAACTTCTCTTGATTTGTGTTTCCAGTCTCTGCTCGGTATCACACAATTCTAAAATCACGTCTCTCACGGCAGAAGCCTGGCCCTTACCC